AATTCAACATAGTCATCTAGATTATGTGAAATGTGCTCTAGTTTGTACTCTTTTTGTGTAAAAAATACAGTTTCCGATGCATCACAAACTGATATATACAAGCTAAAAATCACATATTATGATCATCTTGCTTCATAATGTAGAGTTTGAATGGGATAAAACGGGTACAAAAGTGATAATATTCCATATAATCTCGAAGATTCCACTAAATTTGATGAGTTGAGGGGGTGGTTGTAATTATCCAAACAAGAGGGGTGTTTTTTTAATTTGACCATACCTCAGGGGGTGTTTGTAATTTACCCATTATAATTTTGATTTTCATGTATTTAAATAATTGCCAATGAATTATGAGGTATCCAATTGTTAAAATATCGGCTTCAAAACCTTGAAATCGTGTCTGAAAATTTAGCAGCGGGTTTATCTTCTTCGCCACCAAAACTTTGTTCATTTATTTAGGTCGCTTTCTCTTCACTCCATCACAGAGAATTTCTGCGACAACTTTATCCAACAACATATGTTCATCCCGTTTCTCTCTCTCTAACTTCCCGATTCTCTCTCTCTAACTTCGTCTTCCCTTTTCCCCTATGCTCTCCCCAAATGATAGTTTCTTCTCTGCCCTAATAAAATTCGATAAGAGGAATCAAATATCCGAGTTCTTCTGAGAGTATCAGAGTAATCACCACTCTATTTTCCTTTTCCCCCAAAAACAAAATTCTAGGTCACCGCGCATATCTTCAGAAAAAAAAATTAAAAGAAAATGGCTTCAATCGGTGGAATTGCCGCCGTCGGCAACTTGTGGTTGACCAATTGTTCGTCTTCCAAGCAGTGTATTTTTCTCGCAACCCTTAAACCCAGAAACCCATCATCATCATCTCACACAAGAATTTTAATTCGCGACAACCCAGATTATTACTATTCCGTACTCGGGAGAAGAATCAGTAGCAAAATAATTGGCCATCGTAATTTAGGAGCCCGTAATTCAGTTCAATTGGACGCGGCGTACATCACAAGCGAGGACGAGGACGAAATGGGGGAAGGGTTTTTCGAGGCGATCGAGGAGCTGGAGCGTATGGCCCGGGAGCCCTCGGACGTGCTCGAAGAAATGAACGACAAGTTATCGGCCCGCGAACTCCAGCTAGTGCTCGTTTACTTCGCGCAGGAAGGGAGGGATTCGTGGTGCGCGTTGGAGGTGTTTGAGTGGCTGAAGAAGGAGAATAGGGTCGATAAGGAGACCATGGAATTGATGGTGTCGATAATGTGCACGTGGGTGAAGAAGTTGATCGAGGGGAAGAACGAAGTGGAGGATGTCGTTGATCTTTTGGTCGATATGGATTGCGTCGGTTTGAAGACGAGCTTTAGTATGGTGGAGAAGGTGATTTCGTTGTACTGGGAGGCGGGGGAGAGAGACGGGACTGTGTTGTTCGTGAAGGAGGTTTTGAGGAGAGGGATATCGATGCGGTTGGATGGTGACGAGGGGAAAAAGGGTGGGCCCGCCGGTTACCTTGCTTGGAAAATGATGGTATGTGTTGAGCCACTCTCGCTCGTTTTTTTTTGTCCGTTTGTTAAATGCGTGAGTGTTTAGTGCTAATTGTTTGTGTTTTTGTTGCTCGTTGCGAATGGCTTCTATAGAAACATGCTAATTGTTAATACTGTTGCTTTGTTAGTTAGTAATGTACTAGAAGAGGGTTGTGTTCGACTTTTATGTTTGCTGACTTGTCCGCCCTTCTTTTGGATGAAACATGGTCGGCGTGATAGATTAGTGGCAACACAATACACAATCGATTAAAGAAGAAGAATCAAGAAATGATGTAAAGATAAGAGAAAATGAGTAGTGGAAATTTGGTAATTAAGTTCACGTACGAGTAAGATGAGAAAAAGTGAGTGGTAGGATCCACGGTTAAAGAAGGTGTTTAGGGTGGTCAAGGACGAGAGTAACTAGTAGTAGCATCGGAGACAAAAATCTTAAACATGAACATGTTCGGAGTTAGTTAAACATGTTATGAGAATTAAAGGAATGGAGAAGAATGGAATATGCTCAGGGAAGAAAACATATATTTTTTTAGGGTAAATTGCAGTCACCCCCTGAGGTAAGGTCAAATTACGAAAACCCTCCTCCTGTTTGGGTAATTACAATCATTCCTCATGTATGAATCTTCCTACACGTCCACTCTTGTGGTGTCAAAATTATAGAATCTTCTAGATTATGTGGAATACTTTTCAGTTTGTACCCACTTTACCCCATTGCAGCTCCACATTTTGAAACAAGATAGATGATCGTAAGATATGTTTCTTGGCTTGTAAATATCAGATTGTGGTGCATCTGAAACTGATTTTTTTTTTTTTGCACTAAACGAACACAAACTAGAGAACTTGTCACGGAATTTAGATAATTCTGATGAATTTGACACCATAAGAGTGGACGTGTACGAAGATTTATAGTTGAGGTGGTGGTTGTAATTACCCAAACAGGAGGAGTTTTTTTCGTAATTTGACCTTACCTCATGAGGTGGCCGTAATTTACCCATTTTTTACTAGTAGGGTTAAAGCAGTAATAACTCTTTTGACCTTCTCGATATCCGAAGAATCCATGAATAGTGGAACGAGAAATTAACTTAACAGATTTTGTAGTTGGACGAAACTCAATAGTAGCTAAAGGGAAAGAACGGAAGAGAGTGCAACTTATCGAAGCTATGCCTTTAGGTACAAACTGTGTTTTAGTTGCCAAAAAATCTTCGATTTTTCTTCCTTTGACCATAAAACGAGGGTCGGGGTAATCCTCTCCAGAAACCTTCTTACTACCAGTTTATTGACGTGATTCTGATAATCTTTGTTTTATTCTTACTATTAGTTAATATTATTATTTAAATTCATCGATCTATATTATCGTATTATTCCTTAAAACGGAACAATTGGCTGAAACATATCTATAGTTATCCCACTAGTACTTCTTCCTCAAGTTATACAAGAGTTTTGTATTTTTTTTTTTTAAGAGTTCCGTTTTTCGTCAAATTTTTTTTTGGCGCCTTGGTGGTGAAGGGTTATATCCGTAATTCTGGTGTAGAACTGATGTGGATGAACCAATTACCATCATTTCCGTATAGTATATCTTTTTCCTTCATTTTACTAATCTTTAAGCATTTATTCACAATTCTCCGTCTATATTTGTTTGAATAGTTGGTCAATTCTCACGGTCAAGACTTTTTTTGCTGTTTCAGGAGGAAGGAAAATACAGAGACGCTGCCAAATTAGTGATTCATCTCAAAGAGTGCGGATTAAAGCCAGACGTGTACAGCTACCTAATCGCAATGACAGCTGTCGTCAAAGAGCTCAACGAATTCGCAAAATCCCTCCGCAAGCTAAAGTCCTTCACAAAAGCCAACCTAGTCGCCCACCTCGACCCAGAAAGCCTCCACCTCGTCCAAGATTACCAAAACGACCTCCTCTCCGACGGCCTCCATCTCTCCAACTGCATCCTCCAGGAGTGGGGCCCGCAGTTCCACGGCATGGTCCACGAGCGCCTCCTCGCCATGTACATCTGCGCCGGGCGAGGCAGCGAGGCGGAGCGGCAGCTGTGGGAGATGAAGCTAGTTGGGAAAGAAGCCGACGCTGACCTGTACGACATTGTGCTCGCCATCTGCGCTTCGCAGGGGGAGACGGGTTCGATCGGACGGCTGATGGCGCGCGTGGACTGCGTGGGCGCATTGCGGAGGAAGAAAACACTTTCGTGGCTTTTGAGGGGTTATGTCAAGGGGGGCCATTTCAAGAAAGCTGCCGAGACTCTTGTTAAGATGCTGGACTTGGGGTTTTTCCCGGAGCTTTTGGACCGGGTTGCGGTTATGCAGGGGCTGAGTAGGAGGATTCAGTTGCAGGGGAATGTTGACACGTATTTGACGCTTTGTAAGCGTCTTTCGGATGCGGGTTTGATCGGCCCTGCTCTTGTTTATGTTCATATGAGGAAACATAAGCTTTGGGTTATTAAAATGCTTTGAGTTTTTTTTTTGAGGAGGGAGCTTATATATTATATATATATATATATATATAGATGTATCATATGTGTATGATAAAATAGGATGTTTGTATAGAATAAAGAATCTTGGAAAATGGTGTGTAATTTTGGGGACTGAAGTATGTGCCTGTTGTTATGTGGTGCTGTTTATATTCATATAATGGTAATAAGAATAAGGTTTGCCTTATTACATCCCCTCTTCAAGTTTGTAATAACAAATTTCTTATGTGTTTAAATGTGCTTTTACAAAAGATGGCATATTTTTACTGCATATCTCTGGTTATTTGGTAAACAAGATTCAAGTATTTCTCATTCTCTGCCATTGGCAAACTATTTGGAAATCTACTGTAAGTCTTAGTCTGCGTATTAAATTCTTCGTATGGCAACTCTCTCATAATTGTCTGCCTACATCTGACTTCCTTTTTAGAAGAAAAGCTCTGAGCATAAATACATGTCCGCTATGCGGAACCTCTCCAGAAACCATCGTGCATATTTTCTTCCAATGCCATACACTCCAACCTCTTATTCGCAGAATTCCGTACGTTTCGTCTGAAACTAAATCCCATTTCTGCTCTTTCTTATATCCTTCCGGAAAAGCACAAGTCCTGATCTCTTGATCAACTTTACACACTTTTTTGGTTTATCTGGAAATATCGTAATAACTTTATTTTCTATAATATTCCAATAAATATAAATCAAACCTGGTATCTTTTAAAGAACAGTTTCGTCCCCAGTATACCACCTAAACCTAACAAAACTACACTTAGTATTTGATGGCAGCCTCCAACAGTTAATTGGTATAAACTGAACATCGACGGTTCAACTCTCACGAATCCCGAAAAAATCGGCATAGACGGTATAATACGAGACAGTATGGGACATATGTAATGGCATTTGCAAAGAACATTATTTATACTACTAATAATAAAGCTCAAATGTGGGCTCTCTATTTTGGGTTAAAATAAACAAAGGAACTTAATATACATCAACTTATCATAAATAGGGACTCATATTTTCTTTTTTTCTTGCATTGACAAGAAGGAAGCTCCTCCCAGCAGCCTACAAACTCTCTTGATGGACCTTCGGGGAATATTCACTAAATTTTCAGAGGTGGTGGTTAACTATTGATATCGTAGCTAAACTCGGGTCGTCCTTAGATACAAATGAAATTTTGTTGTATGATAGTTCCCCCAATTTTTCAGATTATCATATATATCAGGATTTTTTTTTTCCGTGTGTACATCTACTCCTCGTAATCGTACCATGGTTCTAAGTTCTTAATATAATATCGTTTTTTCTTGTTAAAAAAAATACCTATTAAAAATTAGGATAAATTATCGGCAACTCTTGAGGTAAAATCTAACAACTTACAAACCCATTTGGTATTGATTTTTACAATTTCTCCCTCACAAAATCTTGAAGCTTTTATAGAATATTCGTTATGAATTTTCAAATCACCACCAAGAGTAAATGTAATATTGTGTCTTACCTCCGGGATACTGGTAATGTAATCATAGTTTGTTTGTATAAAAATGCTAATTTACACAATTCATCAATTCCGGTAGCTAGAGTTTGTAACGAACTGTTAATTCCAAGTGGTATTTTTCAATTACAAATACCACATAACTTTGTAAACTATTTCGTCTTTATTTAATTCACCCTAAAAATTATAATGAGAAAATTATATTTCTTGATAACAATATTTTTAGAAATTAAAATGACGTAGATGAATGCATAGTAGAAAACCACAAAGTCAAACAGTCAACTTGTTTATCCAGTCATTCATGATTCATCCAAGAAGATAAACATGAATCTGGTCCAAACTCCAAACTCCAAATTATATTGTCAGATATTCTTGGAGTTACATGTTTCTTTTGTTTCTTGTTGAAAATATCTTATTAAATCTCATCTTTCAATTTTTTTAATGTGGTAAAATCTTTTGATATTACTTTAGCCATAATTCAACAAGAAATTATTCACTAATCTTGTTGCTCTAAGAGCTTTCGTTCGAGAAACAAAGTTTTATAGTATCAATCAATAACTTCATTCTGTTTATTAGTTTCTATGATACTCTCAATTATATATTCATCAGTCAACAGCTCTGAAACTAGTTGTTTTCTTTAAGGCAGTTTAAGATATCCAACATCCATTTTGTCATAATAATTCATTCAACTTATTGTTTATATTTTTAAGTTCTTGAAATTTCACCATCTAACAGTTAGTCCATATTTTTTTTTAATATTTAGTAAAAATAATTTTATAAATTGTAAGTTATTAATTCATGTCTAAATTAATAAATTTTAATTTATAGATACTTTAATATGATTATATTGGTTCCAACTGTATTAATTTATCATGTATTAATTTATCGAGGTTCTACTGTAATTGGAAATAAATACACACCACGTGTGACTAGGTATATGATTTATTGCACCTAATAAAATAAGAAAAGTAAAATTGCAATACGGAGTTGATATTCTGAATGG